TTACGAATAGCATTAAGATAACAAAAACAACAAAGGCCGCGGTGGTATCATTTGGGTCAGGTGTTGCGCCAGCTTATTTAACATATTAATCTCTTGTTGGGTCTTTCGTAATTCCTATATTTGTGGCCTCATTTACGCCCGTTCGCAAATTAATTTCAATTTGATCTCAAGTTCAAGTTCACAGATCTTTTGCAACATTATAAATCACTGTAATCAAGAAGAACGGGAAACCCCAAAAACCCCCGGGGAAATAAATTTGGACACTTTGAAAATATATCACCCGGTTTTTACGGAATCAATCATCGCCAGACAATATAATGTCGCCATAAAAAAATAATCCGATATTATTGATACTTTTATTCGACTTTCAATTTTTATTTTATTATTGGCATACAAATAAATCCATAAATGTGAATTTAAAATGATACATTTTATAGTGGAGACGAATATTACCATTTTTCCATAAAAGGTAAGCAAGAATTTTCTTGGAAATATCGCAGTGGTGTAGCCAGAGACATTTTAAGTCGTTTAGTCGGCCTATATTCGGTATACTAAGTACCCCCGGATAGTATATTCCAGTTCCAATCGTTGTCAATCCTAAGAACGATTATTTAAATACGTGCGGATCAGTCGAACCAATAAATGTACTTTGAGGTGAGGTTCCTTTTATGTTCAACTGGTTTTGTCGTCGATCGTTTTTTATAACTTCGAGGCACGCTCATTGGTCGCTTACCGATTTTGCAATCCGCACAACTTCGACATGTGTTCCAAGCAATTACAATAATTGGGTATCATTATTTAGGCTCCTCTTCTATGTGTGGAATTCAGTTGCTTTTGTTTCTTATTAAAGTTTACATTCCTTTTAAATGAAATTTCATGTAAAAAAGAAACAGTTAAAGATTGTTAAATTAATTAAAATTTCCAACGTTTTTTCGGTTTTATGCACAACTCCTAGAATTACTCAAACTTCATCAAGATATCGAAGTGTTTTTAACCGAATAATTCTTGATTCTAATTAGAAATTAATGAGAATGTGAAAGAATGCAATTTTCCATTTTGTTCTTCAACAACTTCCGTCTTCGTTTACATTCCTCCATTCATTATTTTTTAATCTTTATAATAAAACGATGTTAATCTCTCATCAAATAACATCAATTGCGCTTCATAGAATATTATGAAGTGGGTGATCATTTGTGATATAAAATAGATTATAAAAGCAAGAAAGAGACAGGACAGAATAGAAATGAGCTGATAATAAAAGAAATAGAGTAAAAGTGCAAGAAAGTAGCTGGGCAGAAAAGAAGAAGACTGAAATTGGACTAGTTATAGAAGACAGATACTAACCAGAGCTTGAAATGACAAAAAAACCATTGGGCAGAAAGGTGAAAGACTAAAAATAGACTAAAAAGGCAAGAAGGGTGTTGGGCAGAAAAGAAACTAACTGGAATTCGACTATTTATAGAAGAGAGATACTGAAGAGAGCTCGAAAAGACAAAAAATCTTTTGGTCAGAACGATAGGAGACTAGAAATAGACTGATTTTTGGGATATCAATTTAGGATTCAGAATATGCTTAAACAACATGATCGAGTATGTTTTGGTGCCGAGAACGGCTGTCTAGAACGTTTGGTCAATTTACTATGGCACGTTAACTTTTCAAAATTTGGAAGTACCATAACTTCATTTTTTTAAATGGCACCCCCATATTTTATTACTTAGTCATCTTCAGCGTCTCATTCTACATCTTTTATATCCCATATGTCCCATACCTAACATTAATAGTTTAGGAGATAATTAGGGTTTTTTGAAAAATGCACACATATATGGATATTTAGCCTAGTGTGCCATGAAAAACAGCCTTCTCAATGAGTTCTTGTCAAAGACTCACTTGTTTACCTCACTTGATGCATGTGAGCAAATAATTATCTGTTATGTCCCTAATATTAGTACTGAAAAGAGTTAAAATCGATAACAATAACGAAAGTAGTACACAAATCAAGAAATTCTTAATTTATTTTTTATGCATAAAAAGCGCGACAAAGTTCGTAGTATGGTTCCTAGATCTTCTTTGGCAGCTCGGATTGAGGGGTTGGGACTGGGCTCGAAATAAGCCAAGGCATTCACCTCTTCCGTTGCATTATCTAATTTTGGTAAAAATTTTCAGAGCGAGTGTCGCCTGGAAATATGTGCAGCCAAAATGGACTAAGGTACGGGTATCTTACATACCCAAAGCGGGCCGTTCGGTCCCTACTTCTAATGCCTTTCGACCCATCAGCCTAACGTCATTTCTGCTGAAAACCCTTGAAAAAGTTCTGGGACGGTATATCCGTACGGTGCCATTGGTATCTGGTCCACTGAGTCGCCACCAGTATGCTTATCAAGCGGGAAAATCAGCAGAATTGGCTCTACACAACTTAGTTGGTAGAGTATCCAGGACGCTGCAGGATAAAGAAATCTTGGTTTGTGCGTTTCTGGATATAGAGGGAGCGTTCAACAACGCAATACCACAATCTCTTGAAAGAGCTGCTCTTGACAGGGGAGTGGAAGCAACTATAGCGGGTTGGATCCGCAATATGCTAGATAGTAGAATAGTTTCTACTTCACTCCACGGTGATACGATACGCTTCAGGCCGGGAGGTGGCTGCCCGCAGGGAGGGGTGTTATCTCCCCTGCTTTGGTCCCTCCTAGTTGACGATCTGATTGCGATAGTCGAAGCCGTTGGTGTGGAAATACAAGCTTATGCTGATGACATTGTCGTTATGGTCAAAGGAACCTGTTTGCCGAGGATATCTAAAGTCCTCCAGGTGACCCTAGATACCATTTGCGCTTGGTGTAAGGGAGAGAACCTCTCAATAAACCCGCAAAAGACAATTGTTGTGCCCTTCACCAGGAAGCGAAAGTTGGATGGACTAATCCGCCCAACTATCCAAGGTGAAGAAATTCCTTTCTCAAAGGAAGTCAAATATCTAGGAGTAATCCTAGACAAAACCCTGTCATGGAATGGACATTTGCAGGGAGTTTTGCACAAAGCTAGACTATCCTTGTGGACTTGTCGCAGTCTTTGTGGAAAAAATTGGGGTCTTACCCCTGAAAGACTGTACTGGCTCTATGTGACTGTGGTTAGACCTATGATCACATACGGAGCAGCAGCCTGGTATAGGAAAGTCCGACAGACTTCAGTTATCAGTAAACTTTCACGAATTCAACGAGTAGCTGGATTGGCAATCTCTGGTGCGATAGGCACAACGCCAACTCTAGCAATGGAGGTTCTGCTTGGCCTATCTCCTCTGCATTTGCATATAGAGAAAGTGGCTAGAACAACCATTTACAGATTTAAGCAATATGCTCAAAACTGTTCCGACATGTCCTACCAATGGGCTGCGGAAGACATTATAAGCACTGATACTGTGCTATCAATGCCGTCAGATTTGGCGGTATCACTATCAGTGATTAATGCTCGATACCAGATTGTACTGCCTGAGCGGCAGTCCTGGATCGAAAATGAAAATTCTCTGGTTCGGGCAGACATTTGCTTGTACACAGATGGATCAAAAACGCCTGAAGGGGTAGGAGCAGGAGTATACTGCCAGACACCTCGAATTAAGCAAGCCTACAGCCTGGGTACGTACTGTACTGTATTCCAGGCGGAAGTATTTGCTATTGACATGGGTGCTAAAATCCTTCTTGAAAGAGGGGTGAAGAACATGACAGTACGAATTTTCTCAGACAGTCAAGCCGCTCTCCAGGCGCTGCAAGCCGTGAAAACGGTGTCGGCTCTGGTTAATGATTGTAAGAGAACATTAAACACACTGAGTTGTGATAACAGAGTCTCTCTGATCTGGGTCCCGGGTCACTCTGGGGTTGCTGGCAATGAAGCGGCAGATAAGCTAGCACGAGATGGCAGCGCTGAAGCGTTTGTGGGACCGGAACCAGCAGTTGGTGTATCATTTGCGATGGCCAAATATAGGATTGGACTGTGGGCTGAAGAGAGACTTCGCCTACTGTGGACCAGTTCTCCTGGAATGAGACATGCTAAGGTGTTTATTAACATCGCCACTGTCAAACCCGGGAATATTTTAGGACTTGCCCGTAGTAGCATAAAAGTTCTAATGGGTGTTTTTACTGGGCACTGCCGATTAAAAGCACACCTCAACTTGTTGGGTTTAGCCGACGATGTTGAATGCCGACTATGTGCGGAGGAAGCAGAGACGGTTGAGCATGTTTTATGCCACTGCCCTGCCGTTAACCGTATCAGATTCTCGATTTTTGGGTCGCAGTTTATCTCCTCAAAAGATCTGAATGACCTTTCGCCGAGCAAGGTATTAATGTTCGTTAAGAGCATTGGACTGCACGGTGAAATTTGATAACGATATCTATCGGGGTACAATAGATCCTTAGGGTCGCGGTGCAAGGTTGGTTGGTCCGCCTACCCGATATGTATTCTATGGTGCCATTTAAAAAAATGAAGTTATGGTAGTTCCAAATCGTAAAACGTAATTGATAATACTTAAGTCTGAATTCTCAATTTTTTATTTTGGCCACAGAAACGTCTAATGACCGGTCTCGTTGAGACACCCTGTAGTTAATAACAAAACCTGTGCTTCGTGATGATCAATTCTCTAGATAAGTGACGGGTTGTAAACAACTAAAGTCTGAAATTTTACCGTTTTTAATCCCGTATATAGAGATTATCAAAAATCTCTTTTGGCAAAAAATTCATTTTAATGTATAATCTTAAACGGTTTTTATTTAAATCGCGGAAGCATTTTTAGTACAACACGAAACTTTCTTTTACAGAACACGAAACGTCACGTCCATTATTCCTTATCCAGTATTCACCAATTGTTGTCGGCGCAGTAAACCGCAGCAACACGACAATGTCCACATATCTGCCCGGCTTTAGATGACCAACAGATATGCAGATTCGGAAACGGAATATAATAAGAACACGCGTGTTTTCGGAATACAAAAGTTGGAGGTATGTAAATTTTTTTTACTTACACATTTCTTCGCCAAGTACCCATGTTTCTGGTGGTGAATTCACTTCGACCAACACCGTCGGTGTACATACCAAAAGCACCATCAAATCCGCAACACTTAGATTCACTAAGAAAATGTTTGTACTGTTTCGCATGTCTTTCGTTTTGAAGATGACGATCGGTACCATAACGTTTCCGATGACACCCAAACACATGATGACGATACAAAAAACCATCGAGGTAATTCTAATATAGGAAGGTAAAACGGGGTACTCCATTTGAGTTCCATTCTCATAACTCGAATTAGACGAATTCAAGAGATATTCGTAAACGTAACTGGCAGTTGTCGAATTTATGTTAAGCTCTATAATCGAGGATGTTGCATTCGAGAAGATCGATGGCAGTGTTGAAATCATATCATTCTAAATTTGGTTGTGCTAGATTTGGCACTAAATATGTTTTTCTTTTTTTACGTTTATATCGACATGTTTAGTTTCTTTTGATGATAAGTTGAGAGTGGGTGGCCTGAAAGCAAATTAAAAATAAAATAACTGTCTTTAAAATAAAAAGAAGTAATGAAAGATATTTTAATAGTTAGACGACCTTGAAGAGAGGAAATAAAAAAAATTCTTTTCATGCGTAAAAAATAGAATACATCGTTAATCATGACGTTTCTTAGACGTTCAACTAAAAATAATTCTTTACATTTAAAAATTACAGTCACAGTTCATTGGCATTACTTTTCAAATCTAATTTTATACATTGTATACAGGGTGTCCCGCAACGATTGTACAATACTGCATCAGCGTATTCTCTGATCGAAAACAGACAAGAAAAGTCTAATAAACATAGGTCCGAAAATGGACCAATTTCGAGATATTCAAAGTTTTGGTTTCATAAGCTGACTTATTGTAAATATCATTCATTCTAACGATTTAGATGCAGCAATTATATGATTACCATGGTTACGATGGTTAAGATAAAGTTTAATAAATAATAAGATAATATTAAGTTAATTAATACAGTTCATTAATAATTTAACAAAACAAGTAACAAAGATTGTCGAAGAAAATCGTTCAACCAGCATAAAAACAACGAATATTTTATTTTATTTCATTAATTCGATACACCTCACACCTCCGCCTGATGAAATTTATAACTACTACACTTCAAATTTTGTTTGTGGTATGACCGGCGACTTAGCTATGAATTTTTCTGCAGTTGAGGAGAGTGATGTAATGAAGGCTTTACTGACTATTAAAACTAATTCTGTCGGGTCTGACGGTGTAAGCTTACAAATGATTAAACTATGTCTACCTGTTTTACTGCCCTACATCACACACGTGATTAATTCATGTATAATTGACTCGGTATTTCCAGATAAATGGAAAAGTTCGCTGGTTGTACCACTACCCAAAAAATCTGGTCCTCACACTTTAAATGATATTAGACCCGTATCGGTTCTTCCAGTTCTGTCTAAGGTACTGGAAAAGATACTGGCATCACAATTGACGAGTCACCTAAATCAGTTTAAAATCTTGCCCGATTTGCAGTCAGGTTTTAGATCTGGCTACAGTTGTGCCACTGCGCTGGCAAACGTTATGGATGACATTGTTACGGCTAGGGATGCGGGATTAACTACAGTGCTTGTGCTTTTAGATTTTTCAAAGGCTTTTGATATGATCGATCATAGGTTGCTGTTATGTATGCTTCATTATGTTGGGATGAGCCGGTGTGGTGTTCAGTTGATGGACGATTATTTGCGAGATCGTACACAGAGTGTGTTGTTTGGGGGCAGTCGATCCAACATCTTAAATGTGAAATCGGGCGTGCCCCAAGGCTCAGTGCTTGGTCCACTGCTGTACTCGATATATACACTCAATATTCAAAAGTACATTCGTACCTGTCGCTATCATCTCTATGCGGATGATACACAGATATATTACTCCTTTAAGCCATCGGATGTTGCGTTAGTTTCTAGTCAAATCAATCAGGACTTGAGCGGGATTCTTCGCTTTGCGGATGATCACGGTTTGGTGGTGAATTCGGATAAAACTGTTGGTTTGGTCTTTGCGAATGGAAGAAATAAACTGGCTGCGCAGCGGGATTTGGGATTGCTTATTGGAGGGGCTGAGGTGATGTATCAGGATTCAGTCAGGTATTTGGGAGTCTGGATAGATTCAGAATTGAGATTGAGGAAGTTTGTGTCCTGCCTGGTCGGGAGGGCGTTTGCCAGTTTAAAGCTGTTATATTCACACAAAGCGGTTTTGAATGTCAAACTTAGAAAATTGTTATGTGAGTCATTTGTACTATCACATTTTAATTACTGTGATGTAGTTTATCATTCGTTTATAGATCAAGTTAGTGCTGGTAGAATTCAGAGAGTGCAGAATAGTTGCTTACGATTTATTTACGGTATTAAACGTCGTCAGCATGTTTCTCATGNATCGTGCATAAAGTAGCAATCTTCTAGAATTTGTTGAGGTAATTCATCAAATGCCTCTGTAAGGTCATTTTGTAAAAAATGTATGTAGGCATCGGCTGTCAATCTCTTTGGAAGAAAAAATGGACCTAATAACTGATCACCTATAACTCCAGCCCATACATTAACACTGAATCGCCACTGATGATGAGTTTCTAGTATTGCATGGGGATTTTCATCGCTCCAAACGTGCGCATTATGAATATTAAAAATTCCGCTTTGAGTAAATGTTGCTTCATCCGTAAATACAATGTTTATGGGAACTACCTCTTCCTGTATGGCCCACCTACAAAAAATCTCTCTTTTTTCGCCATCATTTTCTGTTAGAGCTTGAACGGTGTTGTAATGATAAGGATAAAGCAACTGCTCCCTTAAAATGCGGTGAACGGTTGTTTTGTTAATGTTTTCTTGTGCAGAAATTCTTCTCAAAACTGCTTCTTCTAATTCCACCGACCTTGTGTAATGTCTCTCCGTGGAATGGCTGTGGGTTACGCTTCCCGTTTCTTTTAATCTGAGAAATAGTCTGCTAAAGGTGTGACTATTAGGCAATCGTCTGTTCGGGAACCTTTGCGCGTAATGACGAGCTGCTAACGACGCATTTCCGTCAGCTAGTCCGTAACAATACACCATATCCGCCATCTCTTCCTTGGAGTAATTAATAGGAGCCATACTTAATAGTTTTATTAAATTAAATAGTAAAATAATAATTTCGTGAAGTATTATTATTTTTTTTTGATTAGACCAAGGACAGTAGAATCTAAAAGGACTGCTACATCCATTGTAGTAGTCCACTACGGGTTGGTTGCCCGCACTCTACGTCACACTATTTGCCACGCCTGGTAACTGTCTGTGTTTTTAGAGGTTATATGATAGACATTAATACGTCTAAAAACATAAAACATCAAAAATAATATGAATACGTCTAGGATATAACCTCTAAAAATACACAGCAAACGTATAGACCATAACAACAGCTGGGCGTGGAAAATGGTGTGACGTAGTTTGCGGGCATGTTGTCACAACAATGTATGTAGCAGTCCTGTTAGATTCTACTGTCCTTGGATTAGACAACTTATCGTAATCATAGTAACGACTTAATTATTATAAAAACAAATTTAAATTCGTGATGTTAACAATATTAACTTATGAAACTAAATCTTTGAATATCTCGAAAATGGTCCATTTTCGGACCTATGCTTATTAGGCTTTTTTTGTTTATTTTTGATCATAGAATACGCTGATGCAGTTTTGTACAATCATTGCGGGACATCCTGTATATCGAATAAGTATTTTAAAGTTATATACAGTGTGTCCCCGGATAGGTGAAACGACTCTTATAAAATGTAAATTTTTTTCGAGATTAACTGTCATCTTTTGGGGTTCAGGCCTGCTTGATTAAAGACTAATTTTGAACATATTTTCAAATTTTAAAAAACAAGTGAGTGTTGATACTGAAGCTAAAAATTCTTGTGCATCAGGTAAAGTACCTTTTCTCTTTACGGTATGATGAAATGTTACTAAGAAGTTTTATTCAGAATGAAAAGTTAGGGCCATATCAAAATTTTCGGAATCATCGGCCTACTTTGATAAAACCCATTTTTGGTTATTTTCGTCAATAGTAAAACAAAAAATAGGAAACTTTTGATTAAACGCCAACAAGTTTTTAATTCCAATATTTGGAAATTTTTCACTAAATAAAGCAATAACTACATTTATCGGTTTTTCCCCGGTTCCATAACACTGAATCACGTAAACTTTTTCCTCTAATGTTAACATTGTATTTAAAAAACACTTTAAGTTTACTAAATTACAATTTAACAGTGACAGGAAAGCAATTTAGTTTTATCCATGGCAGTCTTTGTTAGAAATAAAATTGTATGATATGGATTTTTTCAAAGTAAGGTGATCAATCCGAAAATTTGCATATGGCCATAGTTTTTCATTCTGAACAAAACTTCTTAGTAACACTTTCACGTACTGTAAACAGAAAAGATACTTTACCTGCCACAAAAAGAGTTTTTCTTTCACTGTCAAGGCTCACTTGTTTTTTTAAAATTGAAATCATGTCGTTAATCAAGCAGGGCTAAACCTCAAAAAATGAGAATTAATATCGAAAAAAATTTATCTTTTATAAGAGTCGTTTCACCTATCCGGGGACACACTGTATAAATAGATAATTAAATTTCGATCAATACTTCATCAATAAGAACCAAACCGAGGTCGCTTGCAGCTTAATAAAAAAGATGAATGTCTTAAAGAAAGATCATAAGAAATGTTTTTAAGAACTATTGATTTGGCAACCTTAACTAAACACAAAAAAGTTTGCTTCTCTCACGAGGTAACTCAAAGTAGTACTTATATCCCATTGTGACGATGTGTTTTATTTACGTTTCTTAATCTTAATAATAAACTTTCTTGTTTTAAACAACTCCCATTACTACTGTTATGTTGTCCCCGATGTTTATGTTTTGATATATGTGGTTTGGACGACGTTTATTTGTTTGGAATTCGGTCTGTTAATTTTCATGGGTTAGCTTTCAATAAAAATGTCAGAACCTGTGCATGTGACGTTTCTTTTTTGGAGAGTTTCCAAATATCTTTAAAGATCCTTATTGTATATTCTATAAGAATTTGTTAAATTAATATCCTATAAATCATAACTTAATTTGCTATAAAACCAGGAAGATTTCGTTAAAACTAATTTAGAAATTGCGATTTTTTCTAAAAATCGGTGACAACTCAAAAATTTATTACAATGTCCCAAAAACGTTTACAATATTTTATCTTTGTCGGCTTTATTAAAATAACTACTTAAAATTTTACGTTCTGAATTTGGTAAAATTAGATAACACATAAATAATTTTTTTAATTTTATCGTTCTGGTAGGAACGTTAACCATCTCTCAAATGGCAACTTTTATTGCACGTTTTTATTTATTTTCATAAGTTTCCAACCATACATTTTTATAGCGGAGTTAAAACACAAAAAACTCATCTCATAAACACTTTTTTTTTCAGATAAAACTCGAATTCGAATATTAATTAATATATCGACTTTTTTAACAATGAACAAGCCGTTGCATTGTTTGAAAGAAATGCAACTCATTAAAGTTAAGGGCTGATTGAAGAATGATCTTGAGATGTCACCTTTAATTTTATGTTATTCATGGGTGTAACGTTTGGACGTCTCGGTTCGTTTGGATGGGCGGTATTTCGAAAGGGATTGACATGAGAAAAGAAATGTTTATTGTTACACAAGAAAACTTTAACGTCAACTTAGGTACGTACGAAATAGTAACCTGTTTTACAGTTTGATACAAACCTAAATATTCTTTTATAGGCCGGCTACTGTTTATCAACTGACAATCCCAGTTTATTAACGAAGCAAATGCTTGCGCAAACCCAAATTAATTTACTTCCCGTGTATACGTCACGTTTGTTTTCTAGATTATACACTGAAAGATCAAAGATTTTACGAAAATAACTAGATGTTATAATAAAAGATTTTAACTAAAAAACTTTACTTTATCTCCTTTATTATTAAAGATAGCGAAAAACTAAATGCACCATTTGAAAGCTTGATTCTTTCTCTATCTAAAACATAAATCATCCTTAGTATATCGCGCATTTGTACGTTTTGGGCCAAAAACTACTAAATTCACACGTTTTAGCCACTTTTAAACCTTGTTCGAGTTTATAACTTTCTTATATGATTAGGAGAAAACTCTAAAATCATATCTATCTTATCGAAAATTTCCTGCTCTTTCTAATGGTGCATTTATTTTTTCGCTCTCTCTAATAATAAGGAAGATATCAGCTATGAAATTGTGTCAGAAATGATGGCAATTATGATCCACAACTTCAATTGATAAAGCCGAAGCCGCAATTTGTTGGACATGATATTGATCACTGATGAATTAGTCAAAAGATTCATAATTTTGTACTTTATAAAGTTTCAATATGATTAGTATTGAATTATTAGTAAAGATTCTGCAAGCGACCTCGGCTTAATTAATGGATAATAATGAACAACCTCAACTGATAAAGCCTCGGCAATTGTAGGCCCCAGACAAACTAATTAAAATTATATCAATCTGAAATTAGTAATCGTGTTGTTTATCTATTATTAATTGTTAATCGTGTGTTGCAGTGAGATTCAATTAGTTTTAATTATTAAAGATATTATTTGAATATTTATGGATACAATGATTTGTAGTTGTGGAATTTGAACGATTTAAAATTAATAACCGTTTTATCTGGTTTCCGCAATACATACATCAACCCAGTTTTAATAACAGCCAAAATTTCGCATGACCAGGCGACAGGTTTTGATTGACGAAGACAGATTAATTACTTTTCCTGGATCGTACATCATTTTGTCATGATAATTACTATTTGAAAGATCCTTTTTGGCGTTTTAACTCAAATTTACTATTAATTGGACCACGTTATGCATCACTTGACTAAGCGACAAATGAATAACATTGAAAAAAACGGGATTTTCGTTTCCATCACCCTAAAAATATAAGACTTCACAGAATATACAGGTTCAAACTATTGAAAATTGTTTATCACAGAACACTGATGACAGCTATCACAAGCACAGAAAATAATCTAGAGTTTGATTTTGTACTTTTAAACTGGTTTTTATTTTATATAGAATTTAAGTCTAACCAGTTTCGGCCCTTGGCCATCTTCAGAAACTCTACAAATAGATTAACATCTCTTATCTTATTCATTTTACAAACAAGTTTCTTAATATTTCTTTTTGTTTTGTTAAAAAAGATCACGTGTCAAAGTCGAAATCAGATTATTAGTTATTAATTTACAAAATTAAAGTTTAAAAAGTTGTAAATTAAGGACGAAATGTTACAAGTTTACAGGATTTTTTTTAATCAATGTGAAATGACCCAAAAAACACGTTAAAAATAAAAAGAAAGTGCGGAAAAGTGA